TCCTTTCCTTTCCTTTCCTTTCCTTTCCTTTCCTTTCCTTTCCTTGCCTTGCCTTGCCTTGCCTTGCCTTGCCTTGCCTTGCCTTGCCTTGCCTTGCCTTGCCTTGCCTTGCCTTGCCTTGCCTTGCCTTGCCTTGCCTTGCCTTGCCTTTATAAAAAGTGTTTTGAGCACTAATCCTAACTGATGAGCATCATATTCTTACACATGGCAATAATTTTTGTGAGTTGTAATGATAGAACAAGGCTACACTACAGTGGACCAGATAAGTCTACTTTATTGTGATTACAGAAAGTCCAAATTTAATCCACTGTTCAGAAGACCTTCCCCTAGCCTGTCAAGGGAAATCAAGTAATAGATACCATACTTTTTATGTAGGTTGCTCCAAAAGTAATGTCTTATATTTATTTCCATGGAAACTAGAACAGATACAGAGAAGTTTGATAGAGCGAATTCTCAGCTACAAAACTATTTTTCAGTGTAGTCAGCACTATTAGCTATGCATTTTTGTCAGCAGTGAAAAGGAGCCTGCATACTGTGCTCATAAATAACTGCACCAGTGGATGTGACCTGCAGTCATTGTTGACAGTGCTGAAAGGCACCACCCACTGCCTCACTGTGCTCACACCCACTGTTTGGTCTCCATAAACATTTAGCAAATGCTGATGAATGTCAGTGGGCACCATTTTTTCCACATGGAGGAATTCAGTCACACGTCTTCGCTTCATCCATGCTTCCATGTCAGACACCATTTTGTCAAGACTGCCCCTCTGCTGCCATCTGTCACACAGCAACGACATGTAATGGAATATTGGTGGGAAGGTTTCACCTCTACTGCTGTACCACCAACGTCCGCCTCTGATGTGATGGGTGAACACAACAGAATTTCTTTCGGAGCAGCCATCTTAGATCTATATTCCCAGTATGAAGGAGAAGCAAAGAACCGGGTGATCAGACTTAAGAAGATGATCCCAATCCTGGTTGTTTCTACATTACCTTCTTCAGACAATGTGTTGCTTCTCTATGAGCTGGAGGAAGGAATGATCTGTGCCACTCTCTCAGCAGCTGTTGCTGAGACATCACAACTATACTTGATATTCTGAGATCACCATGTTAAATTACTCTTCTAGTCACGGGAAAATACTGGATTGAAAGTTGAAACTGAAATATATATATATATATATATATATATCTCTTTGACCTGTTTCACTCAGCAAAAAATTCATCTGTTAGATCAAAAAGTTCATATTCTTTATTCTTGATAATGCATTTCTATTACTATAGGAGATGGCTTTCCTCTGCATTTTCCAGTTTTCCTTTCTATAGAAAAAAAAGGATGGTCAGGCTTCTAATTTTTTCCTATTTCTAATTTTTTCCTATCTAAAAGGAAAGAAAAACAATGTTTTTTGGTTTTTTTGTTTTGTTTTGTTAGTCTTTTAAAACTATCAAAAGGAATAGTCTGTTCTTTCTTGATAACTGCAAATATACTTATCATAGAAAACGACTCATAACCTGGGAAAAAAAAGTAAAAAAATCTCTATGAACAACTATCAGTGTGTCCTGCATGAGCTATACTGGAATATCTACTTAAAGATCTGTAGAGTTCTCTGTATTCACTATGAAAACACGTAATTTCAACTGCCTGTATTATTCACACATTAATGACTTTAAAACTGTATTTAGTCGTGAGAAGATAAATTACAGATTCCAGAGAAAATGGAAGAATTAGTATCTTTTAGACATGGAACCTACATTTACATCAGTTCTCAACCTACTACTTTCTTAGCTTACGGTGTCTATTTTCAAACATTTCAGAGGACATTCTCTAATTAAGAGGACATTCTCTAATTTAATTTTTGGTTGATATGGTCTTCATAATGATTATTATTTTCACTATGAGAATGAGCAAATTTTACAGCTGATCATCCATTTAAAGAGTTCTGCAAGGATGAAATTATTCTTCAGCTTCACTCCATGCTCTCCTACCAGCTCACTTACTAATCTAGAATTTTGTTTTCACAGTTGTTTTACAAACCAGTTTTATAACATGTATGGATGTTTTTCTCATCCATACCAAGGGAAGGGAGTGATGTTCCACTGGTAAGTCAGCACCAGTTTGAATAGAACCAAGGCACTTAATGAAGTAGCTAATTTTGTTCTCTCTGATGTGAATATCTATGTCTGGGGTCTGTTGGTAACCATTGGGGTAAACTGAAATGGAGAACAGTGTGATTGCATTGTTTTTGTTTTTCTTTCTCGTTAGCATTTTCAATTGTTTTTTGTTTTGTTTTGTTTTGTTTTGTTTTAACTTAGATATCCCAGAACACTTAGAAGACAAAAGAAAGAGGCAGAGATGAGGAAGAGTTGCACAAAAGAAGAGCAATAGAAATTTCAGAGATGATCTGAGTACAAGGATGAGCCACATCTTTGGAGTTATAAGACAAAACAGCTATAGCACAAATAAAGATAGGATCCAAATATGAAAGTAAAGCTGTTAGGGACAAAAGGATATATTTCATATGTACTCTATTGACATCACTTGGTCAGTATGCAGTTTTAAATCATCCAGTTATCTTGGGTCAAAAACAATTGGATGATAAAAATGTGAGTGGGATCCACCACACTTTTCTTCAGGCAGTTGCAGAACAGGTGTCATACTTCCAATCTATAAAACTTCAGTTAACATATTCTATCAGATTTAGAGTGCAACTCAACTGGCCAGACATAGGCATCTATTTAGGATGAGATGAAGCATGCCATTAGTTCTATTGAATATTTTGGATAGCTTTTCCTTCACTATGAAGTAGCATAGGATGAGAGAGACACGCAGGTACTGGGAAGAGCCCAGCAAAGAACCAGCAAGGTCATCAAGGGACTGGAGTATATCTCCTATGAAGAGAGGCTTAGGAAGTTGGAACAGTTCATCCTGGAGAAGAGGAGTCTCAGGGCACATCTCAACAATGTATACAGAAAACTGAAGGGAGGATGCATTGAAGATGATGTCAGGCTCTTTTCAGTGGTTCCCAGTGCCAGAACAAGAGGCAGTGGGTACAAACTGGGACACAAAATGCTCTATCTACTATTGGGAAGTACTTCTTTATTGCGTTGGTGATGGAGCAGTGGCACCAATTGCCCAGAGTCTTCTCCTTGGAGATCTTCAAAAGCTGCCTGAATGTGGTCTTGGGCAACCTGCTTTGCATGTCCCAGCTAGAGCAGGGATTGGACCATATGGCCTCCAGAGGTTCCCAACCAACTGTTCTGTGCTTTTGTGATAAGATTTGATCAGATATTAATGCCTACAGTGTAGACCATCACGTTTAACAGTATCTGTCCTATCTTTTGAAATCCCTCAGCTAATCACTGACTGCATCTCAACTAATAAATACTTACTTTCCAAACCCTACTTCCAAATACAAAAAATCACCTTGATATTACTAATAACTGATAGTCACCTTAATGTCAAGAGTCACGTGAACAAACATC